AGTTCTGTTGACAACACATTAGCAACTGTTGCTGGCAACAGCAGCGGCAGCAACATGTTGTTGCCACTGGACAGCGGACGTTGCGCATGCGCCGCACGATTTGCAATTTGCAGCTAATTGAACGCGTGCGCTGGCGCAGTTTGTAGCTGAGATCTCTTTCTCTCTCACGCTGCCCTCGCACCGCCCCGCCCCGCCCAAACAGCCGTCACAGCTGCTGCTGCTGCCGCCCCTTCTATCGCGACAAATGGGAAAACACAAAACAAAACTGAAAACTGAAAACTGAAACTAAGACAAATGCAACTTGAAACTGGACTTGAAATTGGTTTTGAATTCAATGAATTTCGACAGCGACTCAGCAGCGTGTAGCCAACCAACTCCAGAATTGCCAGCAGCAACACAACCTGTTTACAATTGCCGCTGCTGTTGCTGCTGTTGCTGCTGCTGCTGCTGCTGCTGCTGGTGACAACGACAACAGCCCAAAACAGTGGGAGGCTGCTTGGACGCATGAAAATATCAATGTGTGAATTAGAGCGCAGGCAGCACCGACTGCACACAGATTGAAAAACTAAATGAGAAACCGTTTTGTAAAATAATAAAATTATATGATATGATCTAATATAATGTAGCTGCATGATTTATGCCCATTATTAATCAATTAGGTATCGTAAATAAATTCTAAATGATTATTTTTATGCATTGCTGTCCTCCCTTTGCTCTTTTGTTGTCCATTTGATTTTGATTTTTATGTGTAGAAATAAATTGAAGATAATATTAATGACACACATTCAACTCCAATAGAGTCGCTGATTTATCAACGTGAGTCTTTCTGAACTGAGAAACGGCAATATTATTTGCTCTACTTTTAGCAAGGCCTCCAGTATCGATACAGCCCACATTTAATTACAAGGATTTCTAGATCTTAGCCCCACCTTTAAATATTAGACAAGTCAACTGGATTTGAACTTCTATAATCTGTAATAAAGTTCGCATTTTCTTGTTATTAAACTAGCAAAGAATTCTGCAATCGAACGACATCATTCTGAGAGATGATTTAACAGATTTTCTATGCCTTCTATCTTTTTTGGAGTGTGGAAATGTCGACAATCTATTTCATAAGACTAGGACATGATGGGCCTATATCAAGCGATGTTATTTTTGCTATTTTGTATATAGCTAACGTGCTTTCTTTTAGATTTACCTCACCCTATATAATTTTCAATTGATTAAGTAAATTAAACTAATACTATATATATTCGCAGGCCTTAATCTTATTTATATATAA